TTTTATTTGTTTAATTATTTAGTTTTCATATTATAATTTTTATCTTTACTTTAGTTATAGCCTTCTTTGATTAATAGCTTACTATTTAATTAATTCAAATCTTGAATTATATTAATTACTAATAGCTTTATTCAATTAATCTTAATAATTTTTTTGATTTATTTATTTATTTATTTAATTATTCTTTTTGAGACAATATCTATAGATATTGGTACAGATCTTAAAAATCTTTATTATTATTAAAAATTATAATCTAATTTCTCTCTCTTCACTCTTTAATTAATTTAGTTTTTCCTAACTCTATATTATTAAGGTAAATTTAAGTAAAATTTCATTTATCAATTCATTGTAATAATATAATATTAATATATTAAACTTATTCAAGACTTAATACTAAAAGCTATATTTTTAAAGAATTTTACAAGTTATTAATATTAAAGAAAAAATATTTCATCTTAATTTTAAAGAAATAATTGATTTTAATTCTAAAATATGAAAAAATATAACTTCTTAGATAATAATTAATTATTAATAAAAAACTAAAATAATACTACTAATTAAATAGAATTAATCAAATTTAAATAAATAAGAATATGAAAATAATGCAAAACTAAAAACTAAAATTGAATAACTTATTTTTAAAATTTTTAATAATATAAAAGTTAATAATTATATTTATATTAATAATATAATTAAAATAAAAAAGTTACTTTTAATAAAGAAATTATTATATAAGAGATTCTCTAAATATTTAATTCTAAAAATAATAATGAAAATAGTAATATTAAGATTAGAATATTCTATATTTTGTAGTATTGAAATAATATAAATTACTTTTAAGATATTTAAAGTAATAAGATTTAATAAAATTTATAAAGAAGTAGAATTTATCAAGATTAAAAAGTTTATTATGATATATTTAATTGAATATATTCAAAATAAAATAATAAAAAAAGTTGATAATATTTTTTATTAAAAAAAAAGACTTTTAATAAAAAAATTTTATATAAAAAGTTAAAATAATAAAATTTATATGAAAAAAATAAAAAATAAAGTACTTGTATAATTTTAAAAAGTCTTAAATTAATAATAATAAATTATATTATAATTTATTAAAATGATTATAATAATAAATTAATTTTATTATAATATATTTTTCAATATATACATAATTTAATAATTTAATTCTAACTCTAAATATTAATTCTAATCTTATTATTATCAATTCTCATATATATCAACTAAATAGTCTAATTTTATAATATTAATATCAAAGAAAGCAGATTTTATTATAAAAAAAAGATTATACTTTTATATATTACTAAATAAATTAATATTATATATTTTAAATCTTATAATTAAAATTATAATATTATATATAGATTATATTTAATAATATTAATTATATAAGAAATAATTTTAAAATATAAAATATAATATATTTTTAATAATATTTAAAAATAAAATAATATAAGAAAAAGATAAAATAAATTTTTATTTTTATATATTATTAAATAAAAATATTTAATATTATATATTTTATTCTTAAATAATATAATAAATAATAATTTATTACTATATATTTAATTTTAATTAATATTTAAGTATAATATATAAAGCTAATAATAAATAGTAATTTAATATATTATATAAAGTTTATAAATATTATTTTGATAATACATATATAACTTTTATAAAGAAATTAATTAGAAAACTAAGATATTATATATTAAGTCCAAATATAATTTTCATATTAAACTTATAAATACTTGAATTTTATAATTAAGTTATTAAACTTATAATAAGAATAACTTTTAAGATAGTAATATAAATATAATTTAATAATAGAAATTAACTAAAATTATTACTTAAATATCTGATAATTAATATATAGTTTAATAATATAAATATAAATTTATTATTATATTTTTTTATAAATTATAGGAATATTTAAGTGTGATAATATAAATATAAATTTATTATTATATTTTTTATAGATCATGAAATATTTAAGCATAATAATAAATTTATAAATTATTTATTACTTGAATAATAATATATATATGATTTTATTATTATATATAATTTAATTAAGATATTATAATATAATTATATTGTGATATCTAATATTTTATTATATTATTATTTATTAACTAAATAAATTTTAATATTTTTCTTGATAATTTACTAAAAGGTAATTATACTAAAGCTAATAATTTGTTCAGTATTAAAATAATTCTTATTTAAATAATATATATTTAATATAAATTAATTTTGTAATTTCTTTACTAATTTTTATTTTTTCTCTTTTATTTTTATCTAATCTCTTTAAGTACTTAAAAATTACATGCTTCTTATTATATTTAATTATTATTAATTTTTTTATTATTTTGAAGTTTATTTTTTTAAATTTTTTATTTAAAGTAAGTTTATTTTATACTTTATTTTTTTGTATCATTCAAAATCTTTGTGAAATTATCTGAAGTTAATTTATTTAGATAAATTATTATCTTTATAATCTTCTTTATAGTTTTTGTAAATAAGCTACTTGATTTATATTTATCAAAATATGTTAATTTCTTTATTTTTCTAGTAAGATAAGATTCATACTTCTTTATTTTTAGATATACTTTATTTGATCAAATTAACTTGAGAGATTTTAATCATAAATAGCTTTTTTATTTAAATAATTAACAGAATTTCATTCATTATTATTATCATCTTTCTAAATATCATTATTATTTTTAGAGTCATTAGTAAGTCATGATTTTTTATAAATTTTTTATTCTTATTTTATTCTTATCTTTTACACTAAATTTTTCATTTAGATAAATACGTTATAATCGATTACAAATAGATTCACTCTTTTTCTAAAACCGGTAATCATATATTTAAATATTTTTTCAAAAAACCATTAAATATACATATAATGTCAAGACAATATTATAATTCTACAAATGATATCGTTACTGAAAATATTTCAGAAGACGAATTTTAACATAATTGAGATGATAACGATTATAAGGCTCGCCTTGGAAAAGAAGCTCTGGATGAGCTCATTAAGGCCAGAATGGTTCGCTGACGCTGGCGCAATATATTGATTAGGTTATTTATCGAAAGTCTTCCAGATATTTCTCCTAAAGTAAGGAATGGATTATTCGATGTATTTCTAAGTTTAATGCTTAGGCACATAATTCACTTCTAAATGTATTAGCTGCATCTTACTAAATAAATAATTACGATGTTGATTTTTAGACGTTTTTTTCGCATGTATATTATTCGTACCGATAACCCAATACTATAATTATTTTCGAATTGAAAAAATAAATTTTATAGTAGATTCATAGTTACTTCTATATCTATTATAAAATGTTTTCTATCATAACAAATTCATACAAAAATATAAATTAACTCCTCAACTGGATGTATCTCAGCTAAACATTCATGCTACTGAATTATTGACTGAATTTTCTGATTGGAAAGTTCGTAAAAATGCCAGAACTCGTCCTAAAAATCTCAAATTTAGTTTGAGATTAATTATTGAGGAAATTTCATTAAGACCCGAAAATGCAATTAAAATTGATTCACTAATGAAACTTATTCGGCAACTTCGTGAAAAAGGAACTTCTGAAGAAGTAATCAATGCTTAATTGATCCTTTCTTACTAAAATTTCGAGCAAAATTTAAAATAATAATCGTATAATCGGCGCAGAAAATGGCATTTCCATTCCTGATCATTTTAATCTAGAGAATGTTGGTGCAAGGCGCCAATAATATACCGTATATGACTGAAAATAGGCAACCCCCGAAAATAAGTAACTTTTGATTTTAGAAGGAAATTATGATAAAATGATAAGTCCTGTAAATAAGAAACTCTCGACTTTTTGCATTATGCATTTATTAAATTCTATAATTACATATCTCAGAAACTACATATTCACATCAAAAAAAATAAAATCTTTATATTACCAGTAGGTGTTTTTGCATTCTGTGGATTATTGCATAATAAATCGGGACATCAAATCAAAGTCTCAAAAATAAGAAACTGCCAGATTTTTATTTTCGAAATGCCTATTTTTGGGGTTCTTATTTTCAGTCATATACGGTAATATTGCGAGAAACCTAGCATACAAGCTCTTGCTGATGTAATAGCAATGCTCTGTATAAGACCCGCTGAATAACAACTCTCCAAGTCTCTTGTAATGAATTACAAAAAAATAATCCAAGATTGGTGGGTTCAAGGTTGTATGTATATGGTATGTAACAGGTTATGCTAAAACCCCTGAACCAACACCTCGAAAATTCCTTTTAATGGAAAAAATCCAGAATGAGCACAAGAGTTGCTTATTTGGATCCAAACAGCAATAAGATAATCATTTACGTGATCCTGGAATTAAAGATTACAAGCAGATTTGGAAATTCAGAGTATGAAAATAGCTATATTTTCTTCCCTTCTCTAAGTAGGATCTACATATTAATAATGAACATGTTGCAATAATATTAAGTATATATATTTTGAGTATCATATTGAATTCGATTATTCATCCACATCTAAGTGCGAGATGTTCATTCCAGTTATTAAACTTTATAGTAAACAGGATTGTTGTTGACATCCCAATGGATTACATAGGGAGCTCGAGCGGGTCTGCTGTGTTGAGGAATCGCAGGAATCGAAGCTATCCCAGGATTCGGGTTTGGATCGTAAGGGGATAATTGAATCAAGAAGACTAATCCCAATGAATTCAATGCCTGTATGGTATCGCTGAACAAAAGCAATCTTATCTAGAGCATTGTCACGGTCTGTGGTGTAATTAAAAAAAACCTACAAGCAAATAGATTTGATAAGTCACACCGTTTACATTTTTAGAACAGAAATTTAAACATAATTACCTCTATCCGTACGTTTGGCGGTGGACATTGATTGGAAATAGGATGTATCCGTTATGAAAGCGTCAGCTTTTGATACCATATGCCAAGATCAGGTCGAAGTTGGGCGCGTTGAACAATACATATTGCATTAGACGCTACACTCAAATTTTGATTAGATTTACTGGCTGGAACAAGTAGTTCGGCATGTAATTGTCATACTAATAACAATTTGGTAAGACTAATAAATGATATCATGTAGATATGTAAACTAGAACAAAACTTACTTTAATGAAAAGCTTGTTCCTAATTATTTCAGTGTCATATTTCTTGCATCAGCTTTATCCAGTTCAGGAAGGTTGATTGTAACGACATCTTTCTTTTTCCTTTTTTCCAATACTTCTTCGATCTTCGTGAGGAACTAATATGATCGTTAACAATATGCTTAAATACCATATTGATTTGGGAGATTGTCTTGATCTAACAAATCAAAATCGCAAGATATGAATATTAAAAGCCATTTTGATTAGGAATTAAGATTAAGGTTAAGGTTCAGAGTTAAGATTATATTACACGCGAGAGTTATATATAGTAAATTTGCAAGGAACATTTTTTATTAGAGCACAGAAAGTTAGTTTCATAGGATGTAAAAATTTTGCATAAACGAAAAATGCGGACAACCCATGTCGGTCACATGATTTTAAAGGGGTAAATCAAAATGTGTGACGAAAAAATTTCAACCCATTTATGTATTACATTTATCTTGGTATTATTAACTCGATACAGTGCACGACACTTAAAGACGCCAATCACGTGCCTTGTCCCATTTTTGGTTTCAAAAATCAAAAAATCGATTTTTACATACTTGTCGAAAAATCACGTGAACAAAAAGTCACGTGTTATATAAGAGCTGAATATTTTTTCTCTCTGGGCATTCGGATTTTGAAAACGTGGTCCAATGAAACATGACCAACGCAATAACCAATAAAAAATAAAAGACGTGACCTGGGATCGACCAATCAAAATTAAAATCCAATACTAATCACGTTATTACTTTGGATATGTCCCACTGACCATCGAACATATGAAACTTTTTTTAAAAAAGAAGCCGCTATTTTGTAGCTAGGCCAATTTACTACAAAATAGCGGCCTTCTTTTTTTTGTACCACCTTTGTATGATTATCCTTTACTATTTAAAGATGGCTAGTTTTATTGGCGTCTTTAAGTGTCGTGCACTGTAGTTTAAAATAAATATTATCGTTATGAATTTAATAACTAGCTTATGTATAAAATTAATTAAACCAGCAGACATTGCAAATTAGGATCGAATATTGTTTAGTGCTGCATAATTTTTCACGTGATCCGAAACTTAATTTTTGCTGTGGCTAGTGTTCTGTAATAGATCTTCACCAGAGTTGGACCAAGCAATATGGGCATTATTAATTTACAGAAAAGATGTTGATGGGATCACGATAAAAGGAAGAATTTTGATAAGCACACAATTATATGGACTTTGGCAAAGTAATAGACAGTATTTTCCACGTATCATTTAAAAAATTGTGTGTAGAACGTATTGGAACTTACAATAATTAACTACGTTAAAAGCCAGGGTTAAAGATATTCCACATATACTAAATGACTAGCTACAAACACCTTTATATTAACCCAGCAATATAAAGATTATAGGCAGCAAAAAATAAATGTATTTTCGGCGCCTTTTTATACTAATAAAGTTGTTTCAATCCTCATCATCTACACCATAACGACTATCATGATAAAAATTATATGCATTATTAAAAATTTAAAAAAAAAAAGGAAAAAAGAAAATAAAGATAAACCTCTTTAATTCTCGCAACTCTTCCTCTTTTTTCTGCAAATTCATCTTCCTTGTGACCTTGTTCGGTTGATAATATAGCACTATTAGATATCTTCCCATTACGTTGAAACCGTTCAAATGATCACAGGCAGCTTTCGCGTCGAATATGTCTAGAAGCAAAGCAAACCACCACCGTAATAATTAGAAATCATGAAAATCACACATGCACGCATTGGCAGAGATGCAATACAATTTGTTCAATCCACCTTCATATACGACAAAAGCTGTGCCACGGGTATCTTTTTCATTTCCTCTGGATAGATCATTGTATATTATAATATTAGTAGTGACTTAATCGATTGCAAAGTTTACTCAAAAATCACTATTGTCTAAACATTAAGATGAGAAAAAAATTACCATATTCTTCCGAATTTAAACATCACATGAAAATAAGCATCATCCTCCTGTTTAATAATTTGTTAATCCCAATTAAAGCACCACCACAAGTTCCACCAGAATTAGGTTCAAAAAAGCGGTGCTTAAAATCAGAAGAATACGGTAATCCGAATTTATCCATCTCTTATTTGCGATCCACTTTCTTTTGCTTCAAAAAATATCCTTCTCGTATATTCATCAAAAGAGAAAGAATGTCTTTGGTGCCCAAGAATTGCTGATCTATTGACATTGAATACACTTACAGTCGAATCTGTCGTATAGCCCCATATTTTCCAAATATATCATACATTTCTTCGGAGGTAATATTAAACGGCAAGTTTCTCACGAAAAGCACTCTGTTTACTTCAGGTGGTAACCGGGCCTATGCGTGACAACTGTTAATCAAACACTCAATATATATATATATATATATAGGTTCAAAAAGATGTGATTTAAGGAACAAAGATGAGTCAATGCTTACGTTCCGGTTCTTTGCCGATGCTGCCATGGCCATCTTTGATGTGTTTGGTGTCCTTGAAATGGGAAAATATCAAATATAAAATCCAATCAAGGCTATTATGTCGATCATTATTAACTGGTTCTTGATCACATGATAACAAACAAATAACGATAAGGCCTTTATCATGATGAAAATTCATTTGGCCAGAATTATAGTAATATTTTTTAAAATGAATAGTTTTTCATATGATTCATTAATTTAATCAGATTAACACCCAAATTTTTAACATTACTAACCTTTAATAGTTGGTCACGTGATAACTTTAAACCAGAAACTTGAATTTATAAAATTGTACCCAAAGTAACACAAATCTAACTTGAGGAAATAAAGACAAGTCACAAAAATCCCAAAGGGGTGGGAAATTATTATTTGTTAGCTAAAAACTCAATGAAAATGAAGTCGGATTGTTATGTGTTGCACACATTGATCATTGATCATTTATTATTGTTTTATTTAATTAATTTGATTCACCTGTTTATCATTTGAAAACATAATAATATAGTCGCCATTTTATATACTAATCTACCTACAGGAACAATGAGGGTGAAACAATGAACTAATAAATAGTAATGTTTGCTCAAAAATTAGGTTTTGCGATTTCCTATCGCAATATCGAGAGCTAGCTTTAAACATGGGGATTGTTAAAAGAGAAATGTTGAAAATAAAACACGTGTATGCATGTTTAATTCGACTCAGCCTCGTTTAAAAAAAAATAAATAAACAAACAAACAATTTCAGCGATAACGATAATTATTTCTCCCTTAACAAGTTTAGTACGTGCTTTCACTACAATTTTCTCTGGCATGATTTTCAGCCCTTTTTATTTTCCCCCCTTGGTGAGTCATAATAGAAAATTTTATCTATGTCAGCCAGCCAGTATTATTTTTTTTATCGTTATCACAATTAATTTTTCATCAACTTCGCCCCTTTTTTATCCACTATCAAAAAAACTTGTGTGTCTTTCTACTTTTGTCTTCTTGCATAATGCAAGCATGCAAATTCCGTAGTACAATTGATCCTATTTCGCAAAGAAAAAGAAGTTAGCGAGTTAAATAATGTACTTAGGTGATTAGAATTATTGTGATTCGACATAACTAAAATTCATCCAATAAATTCATATTGATGTGGGTAATGAACGCTGAACAATTCTTTTGTCATTTCAATATGGGCTTCTTGACTAAATTTATTATCGTTATGTAATTATTGTGATGCAAGTTGGCGTATTGAAAAAATTAATTAAACGTGAAAGCGTGATTTCAATTTTCGTCGTCGTTTTTCTCCCTTTTTACCAATTGTATGAAATGGGACTTTTTTGCGACAAGAGGGGAGGATGTATAAAAATAAAAAAGAGATATATATATGTTTTTTATTCCTTTCATGTGTGTCGATTTCACATTAATTTTAGGACGCATTTCTTCTTACTCAAATAAAGTTAAAATAAAAATAGGAACAAATACACAAAAAAAATTATTTACCCCTAACTGGAAATCATTGATTCATTTATTTGTTTTATAAATCATTGATGTATTATTAATTAATGCTCGTATCACTCTTCCTTCATCGTCTTCCTTCCTTCCTTCTATTGAAACAACGTATGTGCAATCAGTATAATAAACTATTTTTACATATACGAAAGTAACAATGGATCAATGTTATAATGAAATGTCATTGTTACGCGACGCAACATAGTGTCGAAGTCGCGAATTTTCAGATCCGCGATTTATCGATTATATCTTTTATGGAATGAAGAAATGCTCCTTCCTCCCCCGCGAAAATACGGAATAAAAATGTTCACATGATTCAATGAAATCCGCGCACGGAGTATGTAATTTCGATCAATCGTCAGAAGAAAAAGACCGACGGCCGCAAAAAAGCGTGCATGGATGTTGTGGGTGCAATGTATATAATAATCGTGCTTAATGTAAAGAAAATCAATATAATCTTTCCTACATATACATATATATATACGTGATGATAAAGAATATCTATTCTTCATTTTGGGCATGTAATAGTAACCGTTCAAGGAAATAATCACAGAACAACAACAAAAAAAAAGCCGAAAATCCTTTACTTACTTGTTACAACTGAATACTCTTTTGGTTCATCAAACATACAAAATATATATATCGATATACAAAATAAAATTTTAAATTTTTTCTTCAATTATTTTATTTAGTTTAGTTGGATTTTTTGTAGTTTGTTTTTTTTTAACTCGCCACCTTTTCTCCCAATTTTTCTTTTTATCTCCACCTTCTGGTTCTTCCCATAACTACTGCAACAAACTTAACAAACTATAACCAAAGCAACAGCAACAATCTAACAAACTAATTAACGAAAACTTCAAACGAGTCACGGGGTAACTTGTTTCACTATTTTTTATGCCGTTAGTCTTCTCTATGTTGTTTCGCTTTTTGTTGTGAGCAAAAAAGGTTTAGCCATTTAGCCATAGTTTCGTCACCGCTTGTCGCCTACACAATCAAAAAAAAAACTTTACAACTATTTTGATAATAATAGTAAAAAATACTATTATCTTCGTTAATATTAGTTGTGTATATATATCGAATAGAATACGTGCAAGGTATGTTTCTCAACTTTTTTTCATAAGAACGAGTGTTACTCTTCTTTTTTTCTTCTCAGCAGTATATTGTTTGTCTTTCGTGTGTGCGTAGCGAACCTGGTGTTCCCAAGCAAGCAAACATAATAAACTGTACACCTATAGAATATAGAATTTTATATTACCATTATTTATTTTTTTTATATATATATAATCTTTACGAAACAAACCAGTTAATTATTATTTTATTATATTATAATACATTTTTTGTGCTTTTGACTTGGTAGTTAACCTTTTTTTCTCTTTTTTTGCTATTGCCTTTTTTGTGTCAAACGCTCAAAGAAAAAAAAAATTTCGTTGACTTATCCATGAAATTCTATTTTACTAACGACGATTCCGGATCTATTCTCTCCTCGTCTTTTCTTTTTTATGCATATATCTTTTTAGGTGGCAAGCTGCACGAAAAAACCTTTCCTTATTGCTCATTTCTATTACACCATATTATTATTAAAAGGTTTTATCACCTCTTTGTATTTAACGACTTACTCACATACATTCCTTTCTTTTCTTTATCTTCCTTTTTTGCGGTTCCTTGTTCTCCCCCTTCCCCCCCCTTCTCATTATACGCGTGTGCTCTCTCTCAATTTGCAGCAGGGCTGCCGGAGCAACTGACAAAGCAACAACAAAATATCGTAAAACCACACAACAACAATAATATTATCATCTAACTCCGCAAAACACACTTCCCCGAAACACCTCACTATCATATACCACGCACAACACATTACGAAAAATTGCTCTGCCCAAAAAATATATCATTGTATTCTTATATATATAGACTATATATTGTGACGACAAAAAATAGTCCATTTAGTTGACCAGTAGATTTTTTCTGGGGAAAAACGACGAGGTCTGGGGGTATATTTGCCCTTCACGTACGCGTTATACATAAAACATAATTCACTAGACCACAAATAAAAAAATCAACCACAAAAGATATCATATTTCATGCAAACCAAAGCATTTGAAATGTCAGAACGACGAAATTCAGTGACAGCTTTTGAAATTCGGTTTGTTGATGATACGGTAAGTGCTAGTATAGTGGTGGATGTTAGTAGTACTTGTTTATTTTGGAGGGGGTTTGATAGGTGTGTGATGTATGATAATATTGACGGATGAGGTTATGGTAGAGAGAATTCAAAAAGCAGCGTGAATTAATCCTTCCCCCCCCCGGGGGGGGGGGAGAGGGATTCAAGTAGGAAATCAGAATCGTTCATCTAATGAATATTATTATTCGATTTTTAGGCGTTAGAAGTAGTAGATATTACACCTGAACGAATACCACCTACTGAACGCCATATTCCAGATCCTTTTAGGAAACGTGACAAAATTCCACGTAACTCTGGAAGTTTTTCCGCAACAACTGTAGCTCCAGAACCATTATCAACATTCGGCAAAGATTCACCGACAAACAAAAATAATTATGGTGGTTCAAAAATTCCTATGCGGAAAGGATATAGCACTTCTGGCAGAAGATCAAAGACTGATCCGCTACTATCACAGCAAAAACGCATGTCCAGCGCTTCTATGGGCGATTCTGATACGTCATCCTCAACAGCAACAGAGAATACGTATAGTTATATAGGTGGTCGAAAATCACCATCATCACAACAGAAAAATGTAAAATATTCTATTAAAAATAAAAAACGGGGTTTTTCGGGAGAGGATAATAGTGAACAAGAGACGCATAGAAAATATTCAAAGAACAATTATAACAATGATGATGATGTAATAAATGAACGAGTTACATCATCATCTTCTTCTTCACTCATCGCAGATAAAAGCCATTATAATAGTGGTAATTATTCTCGTTATGTGGATGGTTTAACTACTCCACCCGCTACACCACCACTTTCACCACCACTTTCACCAACCAATAATAAGACAGATTCATATGCTGCTGAACCGTCACCGAGAAATAGCTCAATAATAGTTGATCAAATGGTGGTTTCCGATAATTCTTCAGAAACCATCGTTTCATCAACGCCACCATCTAGCCGTAAGTTACCCCCAATTTGCACATCCCCCACTACTCTGGCATCCGCTACAAATGATGATGACATTGAACTTTCACCGTCAGATGAACTTCCTCCTCTGAAAAAACCAATGATACCTCATGATGAAGTTATCGTACCAACCGTTGCAAAACGGTTGAAAAAGCAAGAACAATTTAATGAATTTCAGCGATACTCAGTTCCGAATTCACCGACGGAACATGGGTACACGGATATTACCGATTATGTGGAAGATCTATTCGATTCTGACAAAAAGTATCCTTATACTACTTATCCTCGACGAAAAACATCAGTGTCTACGTCTACACCTCGACGTAATACACGATCTAGGCAAAATTCAGCAGCGTCTAGAACTCGACCTATTGTTAAGAATCATCAACCTCAGACACCATCTCATGCTGTCGTTGATCATATTCGATCACAACCAAGAATAAATAATCAGAACAATAAGGTTGAGGATAACGATAAAGAGGAGCTTTCGGAAAATGGTAATTCGGCCGCTGATACGACAATCACGAACACATCTGATACGGGAGCAGCTGAGGATCCAATGAGGGTTGGACGAAGGGCTCGTAGGGAAGAATGGGTTATGGTGGTGAGAGATGATGACGAAAAGGTAATTTTTGTCTTACTATTTATCGATAGTTTTTCTATCTGTTATTTAACTAATAAAACGCTGTTTTATAATGATAATAGTCCGAAAACTCTACTTCAACTTGGAACGGACAACCATCAGACGAAAATTCGATTGAGAATGAAGTCGGTCGCATTGAAGAAGATATTCAAAATGTGTGTATTTTTATTTTACTATTTTTCGTATAAACAATAGATTTTTAGAACTAATAAATTTTTTTTAATTTCTTTAGACTCCGGCAGAGTCCATCAATCCCAAGATTGTACTCACCTCAGACGAGCACAACGCAAGACCACTCACACTCGATCTACAGAGCGTCCGAAGCAGCACAGACGATCTTGACAATCAAAAAAGCAAAAAGAAAAGTAAAAAAGACAAAAAGAATAAGAAAAATAAAAATAAGAAAAACAAGAACGACGGCACTTTCAATGCTGGAAATAATAACGATGACGATGGTATCATCGAGCCTTCTAAGTGCTGTTGTATCATCTGTTAGAACAATCGATATACATTCATATACATACATTTATTTATAAAAACAATATCTATAAAGTATGGTGGTGACATAAAGGAATGTTTTCTTTTTTAAATAAATTAACGAGCGATTAAATCAATTAGTACCCCTTTATTTTGTTTTGGATGTAGATAGTTTTTAACCTTTTTTTTTTTGTCTATCTACTCTTTGCAATAATCCCCTCTGTAATATAAACCCTTTTTTTATTTTATTTTATTTTTTGAAATCTTATTATAAAGATTACCCGTTCTACTGGTTGGTTGGTCGTTATAAAAAAAACATATTTATCTCGTTCCGTAATCATTATTTTACATTTATTATTATCATCGTCGTCGTTGGAATTTCTCGATCCATTCGGTTTTTCGTGTATATATTCAAAATTATGATAGTAATAATTATTAGTAATGATTATGATCTAACCACCCTGCAGAGCGGGGCGAAATTTTATTTCACGTGCATTTTTTACTCATATATACACATAAACCACATCATATTTATATATATACACACACACGCATATACAACATACACAACGAACATTCACATATATATATATATATTTTATATACACAAAGAATTACATGTATTCTGTTATTTTATCTTGTTATCCGCAAATATGTGATTTTTTTAAAAAAAAATTTCTTATCGTTATTTTGATTTCGCCGCCACAAATAAAAACCAGCGTAAATAAACAAAATCGAACAACAAACAAGAATAATTTGCTATTATATCATTTATATTGCCGTTATTTATACTATTATAATGTATCAATAAAATGAATCTCATAAAATAACCTTCATGAAAAATATCAGGTGACCTGAAAATCGACGGACCTAAATCCGATGGTCGTGATACACGTACAAAAAAAATATTACAGCAGCATAAAAATCAGACACCACGATGACGATAATTGCTTGCCTTTCCATCTGGTGTCAAACTCTATTTTTGCCTTTTTAACGTGACGTACGTCTTTTATACGGGATTCTTTGAAAAATCACGCGAACACTTATTTTTCTTTACATGACTCTTTAACTCAGTTTTCTAAAAGGTAAACCAGAACTGAAAATAATGTCCAAAGAAAATTCAAAAAATCATTATAATAGTTCGGAGGCACCAGGCACCACTCCCAAGAGAAATGGCCGCGACAACAGCAGCAGCAGCAGTCAAAAGGTGACTTCATTTCCGTTGACACCGTCTGGGACACGTTCTGTGACGACTACGCCACGAAAAACCGAATATGGTGATCGGTTAGTTACACTATCTTCTACTTCTCATTCTAAAGATGGAAAGAGAGCGCGTGATTGTTTTAACGTGTTTAATCGCATCTTAACCGAAATGAAAAATCTAGCTTCATCCCTTTACCAATACACGATCCTGCAGTGGAGTTCCACAGGTTGACCCCTCCTATTACAAAGTCGAAACGGAAATATAATGCGGGAGATAGAACACCTGAAACGAGGTCTTGTCGAAAAGGTATGGTTTTACGCAAGTTGTTTCAAATGCTACATTTTTCGCGTCTATTTCAACTTTGGGAATGCAAACATTGAAAATGAGGCTCAAGATAAAACTTTCCCGATTGATATGATAATTTCAAATCAGATGATGATAAGGACATTCTATACAGGGCAGTCCTCGAAAACACATTGTTTCCTGATGATGACCTGCCGGACAGCTCTTTAAACATAAAACAATCATTGTCATCGGCTCCGCGGAACAAACCGCTACTAAAGTTTCGTAGCCCATCCAATATGCCAAGATCGCTAATACCTGTCGATTCGCCGAACCGTGAAGTGTATTCTGTGGGTCCGATTTCGATGAATGCGCAGAATATTTTGGAAAATACTCGTCAGGCGACGAGACAAGTTACCGAACGTGGCATTTATAAAGTTTTAGATGCCCCAAATATTCGGGTATGTATCGGAATGACGTGCGTTTGCTGCATTGCTTTAAGGTCACCTTATTCAAAATTTTATTTTAATTATAGGATGACTTTTATCTCAACGTCTTAGACTGGTCCTCGATAAATTGTATAGGAGTTGCACTCGAAAACGAAGTATTCCTATATAATGTACGGACATCATCGGTATGTCCTCGTTTAAGAAAGACACTTGAAAACAGTTCGATCTCCTTAGTGTTCGTTCTTATATTAAGTCTCGGTCATATATATCCGCTTAACAGGTTACAACTTTAGCTCAGCACAAATCTCCAGAATATGTGTCATCTGTAAATTGGAATATGGAGGTAGCAATTTGTCTATTATTAATCAACAACGTCTCTCAATCGTTTTGTAATTAAAATTGTGAACTTTTAAAAAAAGGGAACTCATATCGCAGTAGGTACAAATCAAGGGATTGTCCGTATATATGATGTTTGTCGCATGAAGATGGTCAGGAAAATCTCTAATCATGAACTAAGAGTCGGTAGGTAATTGACTTGTTTCGCACTTAACTTGTATATATCAGCATAACATTTATTTACACCGATATATGTATATATATGCAGGGTCCATGGCATGGAGAAAAAATATTCTGACTACTGGCAGTCGTGATGCGGATATTTTTCATATTGATGTCAGATCTCCTGAACCTTTCATAGGATGTCTGAAAGCCCACACACAAGAGGTGAGTGCCACTGTTTAAATAATCAAGATAATTATCTTCAGATTTTGAAAATTAATTGTTATCTAGATATGCGGCTTGAAATGGAGTCAGGATGAGCAGTTAGCAAGTGGTGGTAACGACAATCTTTTGTACATCTGGGATCAGCGAAAAGCAAGCCCATTGTACAGTCTGAGACACAAATCCGCTGTAAAAGCAATTGCGTGGAGCCCTCACGCACGAAACCTCGTTGCTAGCGGAGGTGGATCTCAGGATCAACGTATTCGGTTTTGGACCACATATACTGGTCGTAATTTAGCAAGCTATCTCACAGGATCCCAAGTAAAATTTCATCTTTTCATCGTTTGCTAGTTAAATCCATTTTAAATATTTTCTTTTTTTACGTAGGTGACTAATCTCGCATGGTCCGAACAAGTGAATGAGCTAGTCTCTACGCACGGATATAGTAGAAATGAGGTCATCGTGTGGAAATATCCGTCGATGGACGAATTAGCTTGTCTGACTGGGCATAAGAGTCGTGTCTTGTATCTTGCTGCAGCACCGGATGGCCGTACAATTGTGACCGGTGCGGGTGATGAAGTGCTTCGTTTTTGGAATGTGTTCAGCCAAAAGAGGCAGAAAACCTCTGAATCTAAAATTTCGCTGCGCAATTTCATCATTCGTTAATTGGACGGATAGTTGTTCGAATATCGATCTGTAAGTTCTTAATTTTTCGTGTCATTCGAGTTTTATTAGTTACTTATTTCTTATATATATATATATATATATATATATTAAGAAATCATGCAAGACTTTTGACTTGATTATCCATGCGAGGCGATGTGAAGTGGTAGTCTCATAAAACAAAATATTTTCTTGCTGTGACCACATTGTAACTATTCATTATATTATCAACAGCCAACAACGTAAAAAAAAGACATTTACACAAAGAACAATCGTTATATTTATCAATATATATAATACACATGTTTTGCATGTTCTTTTGCTATTGTGATAATATTGGTTGGTTGGTGTTTTTGAAATAAAATTAATAGGCGCTCACAATTCTTGGTTTTTTTATATTCATCAATACGTTGAAAAATAAAATTTGCAAAATTGATGTATGTATGCTAAATTTGCTTCAGTTAAACTTTTCGTTTTTTTACCATAAACATGTATATATAGCTACATCGTAAAATGGCAAATCGTATGCTTGATCCCAAAACAAAAATGTTTCACTTTCGAAAAAACCCGTGATTTCTATTTTCTCAGACGAATCTTCTTTACAAATAACACTGAATCTTGATGCTTTCGAGGTAATAATGCAACATTTGAACGATATCAATGAAAGAATCGGACGCAATATATTTATTGAATTACTTTGTTGTCCATTAATCAACCGCAGCGGCAAATTGAATCCTGGTTTAAGTTTAAATAAGATGACAGGAAATTTGTATGCACATAAAAGGCAAAATCAAATTTTTGATATGTCAAAGGCTGCTTCACATGATACATTTCGTTTGACGAACTCGAAAATTTCACATACCCGATCGTGATATATATCACGTAGTTGGAAATTAAAACTATTTTAGATAACAAAATGTTTAAATATTAACTACACGCTTCTAAGTCAATTTTGCCATGACCTATTTTTGATTCCAAAATGATAATAATACCAATACGGAGAAGAGAAAAGCTTCTTTATGGAATTACGGTGTCTACATCTGAATTGTCTCTTAAATCAAAAAAGCATATGATAACACAAAGAATAATCGGTGTGATATTATATTCTTTTTACACCGTTTAATTTTACATAACAATAAAATATAATTTGACTAAAAGATTATCCTAAAAATTTTGTACTATCATTCTATAAAAAATCATTGTTTGCGGCATGCACGAACTTTCGTTACCCCATTGCTCGGTAATAATGACAGAGCCCGGGTTCATGCAATACATAACTTTAAAAACGCATATGCGCCCTGTCGAGATTAATGAAGCCACGCCTGACAGAAAGAATATTTTTTTTATTTTGGTGCATATAAAATTTTTTTTTCTTATATTCTGGATTGAATGAAATGAACACATCAAACACCTGTTCTTGCAGACGTTGAATGTCAAATCTGAGATACATCAAACTTCTTTTCATAGAGAGTACAATAAACTCATCGATTTTTCGTGTTCTACACCCATGCCCTGTACAATCCTTCATTCTCAGTTTTTAATGATTCGTTTAGAAATGATATTATATGTTTGTTGATGGACAGTTTATTTGCCTTTCCCTTTAGTCTTTAGCAACCTTGATCATGAGCATCTGAAATATATTCATGTAAAGAAGATCGTCCTGAAAGCCTTCGGTTCTTGAACGGTATGGGAAAGGAATTTCTAATATAGGGTTAGACGTGAATTTTAATATATCTAGGTCTTAAAAAGATCTTGAACCTGAGCATTATTTTAAACATATGGCTTGCTTTTTTCTGCGATAAGTATTTCCAGACATTTGTCGTCATTCCTTTGTATTGCATAAGATTACATCTTTCTTTTTCTCTTCATGCACTGCAGAAACTAATTCCCTCTTCCAACAATAAGAAATTGTTTGAATGTTCATTTGATGGTACATTTCATCTTTATCAAACTTATATTCATTAACACCATTTTGATTTATTTATGCAAATCGCTGGTTTACTTAACGTTACAATCATCCCGGATTATATCCTCCACAAATGAGCTGGGACAGATTTAATTTTTTATATTCTATGTATCCAGTTCTATATAAATATGACTTATCATCACCAGTTATAGCGCCATGAAGCATTTATTCGATCATCATCTAATGGGTGCTTTGTCAAATAAAATGTGCACGAATTGAGGTGCCAAATAAGTTACCCAACTTGCAGATAAGGCTCCAGGTTAATGGGTCATTTCTGACAATACATTAAATATTAGGTCAGTCACTTAAAAATGCGAGTGAAAACATGATTTGGAAACTGGTAACTGTAACATATGTTCTTTGCTGTTTGAACTAGTTGCACAAGATAAAATGCATAATAGGAATTGTTTACTTTCATTTAGATGAGATGATGCATATAGAACATCATGGATGTGATTTTAGAGCGCTGTTGCGAGTATACTTTTGCTCAAACAGTTATAAAATTATTGAGCTGAAGGATTTGCCAAATTATTCTTCAAAAGATTTAGCAGGAAAAGATTCATAAGACGAGATGCCTCAAATGCAATGTAAGTCATTCTGTGAACAGCATCCTCAATTACGGGAAGCAAGGGCTGGCTCTGCCAAAAATTTGTTGAACCAAATTTTCATGGCACATTATGCCTTCTTCTATACTCGCATTTTGTTATCTAACTAGCAGCTATCAACTGAGAGGGAAATCTGATCATGCTGAAAATTCTGGCCAGAATTTGCAGATCTGTTGATCAATTTGACCAAATTATCATAATTTCTATAGTAATTTTTTTTGAAATAGTGATAAATTATAAAATACATGGTGCAAAATTTTATTTCATAATATTAAAAATATTTCGTATTGGAAATCTTCATCCTTACTAGATAATTCAACAAAAAGATTTTGAGATGCTTAATGTCACCGAAAATAAGAAAATACCGATACATTTTTATTAGTTAGATTTATTTGATCATAAAATTTGCAATTTACGATCCGATCATTTTATTTAGACTTTAACCATATATATATATATATATGCTGAATTTGTGACATTTATATTACTAAAAATTAACTATTTTCATTTATTAATGAGCATTATTATATAAAATTATTTAATCATGGTCAAATTGAGCAAAGGTTTTTTTTATATTTAGATACTGAATAAGAACCCCGGACGTTCACCATTCTAAATAAGAAACCTCACCATTTCGAACTGCCGTGACAGATTAAAATGAAAATAAAGTGAAATTTGGACTTTTTAAGATTATAGTATTAAATTGACCTACGATTTATTTAAAACCATCGTTTTAATTTGTTACGATCATTGCACAAACATCGATAATAATCGGATTTGACCAATTGTATTTATTTGATTTTATTTCATGTACAAAATAACATATCATCATATTGTCCTCAAGGGAACGCCCGACTTATAAGCGTTTTTAACTCAGCCATATTGAACACTTTCAATGACATTATTTGCGTTAACACGTACTTGCAATCTACATCAACGATAATAAAGAAATTAAAAATTCATTCATAGCATCATCATCCGATACAATACCCCCTTCAAACCTGTCTTGGTCAAAATCACAAGTATACATGTATCCTGGTTTGATTATACGATGTTTCGAAGGTAATTCCGTCTCATAGACGATCTGTAATTCTTTTTAGAAAAAACCGCCTTATTTCTATAAAGGGAATTTGTTTACATTAATTTCAACAAATACCATGTCCTTTGGAATATTTTTAGTATATCTATCACTGTCAGCATTTTCTCGAAGAATTTTACCAATTAAGTACTTGTAATCTTTTTCCATGATTGTTAAGAAATACGTAATGGAAAAGATGAACCCAAGCGACTTCTAATATATTGGAAAAATCCGTCACACGTTATTAGCCAAAAGTTGCTAGACTGCGCTCGTAAAAATTAATGTTTAGTGGCGCAGTACTTGATTGACACGTCATGTTTAGGTAAAGCTGCATTAAATCAAATTCTTGCATTACGTCATAATGATTACTTGGGGATTAGCGTGGGAATTTAAATAAAATTTAATATCGATATAAATTTTGATTCACGAAAACCTAGAATTCACTTTTTCTATATAAAAAACCAAAATTATTCTCACCCTGCCTAATAAACAAAAAATCGAATTCCTTGTATTTTCATGTTATTTATTAAACACAACGACGACGATAATAATAACAGCAGCAAAAGCAAAAGTTACTGTTATTATCTCAAGATGAACAAACTAAATTCTCAAATATTAAAGATTTTCTTCTGCCTGCTGCTATGCACGTCTTCAATACTGGAAGCATTGGCTTCGCCAATAGAGAGGCGTGATGCTTCAAATAGTCAGAATCCAGATAATGGTAAGTTTCTCAATTTGGAACACATAATCCCGTGTAATCTCAATTTGGCTTTTAAAATCGATTCAAAAGTAAATTTCTAAATTTCTAATTCTCTAAAATAAATAGGCAGTAAAATTACGGTTCACACAACAATTGTTGGGATAATTTTAATTATAGTCGGAATAATTTATTGTTTCTATGGCCGTAAACATTATCGATTGACCATGTTTTTGCTAGGATATTATATTGGCGGTGAGTTTACAAGGGAGGGAGGGACTAAAATTTTTCCGGAACATTCCAAATAAACAAATTAACTAATTAACGCGAATTCTACTCTAATCAAAAGCATTAATCACCTGGATAATTCTAACAAACTTCGAACCACAGCACTACAGAGCTGTCGTTTCAACAATAATCCTAATAATCTCTCTAGTTGTCGGACTCATAGTTGGCCTTCTCACAATGTGCTGTGCGGACTTAGCAATCTGGGCATTAGGCGGTCTTGGAGGCTACGCATTCGCGCTCTTCCTCCTTGCATTTGCTGACAACGGAATAATTCACTCACACGCCGTACGAGCAATCTTTATCGTGATCTTCGTCGTAGCCGGCGTAATCCTAATGATGTTCTTCAAGAACACGGTGATCATATTGGCCACGGCATTTATCGGCGCGTATAGTATCATGTTGGGAATTGATATGTTTGCCAGAACGGGATTCAAAGAATCGGTGAGATCGTTTATGGATGGACAACATGATGTCGTTTATCATGCGACTACGGAGGTTTATTTGATGCTGGCTGCGTTGTTTATACTGTTTGTTCTTGGAACCATTTATCAGTGGAACTATCATCGTCATGGACATTTTGGATATCATAAGAATGAGTCTGCTGCACCCAGCACTACTGGCGACACTAATAATCGATGGAATGAGTGGCGGCGAAAGTTTGGACGAAGGAGTTAAAATAATAAAATGATACAATGAAATATGATCTCAATTGTAAACTAACTGTAATATCATTCATGATTGTGCATAGACATCGATATTTATTACGTCTCACACACAAATATGCCGAAAACATTATAAAAAACATTATTTTAATAACATAAAAATATATATATTGTAGGGTAAATCTGAATATTGTATCAACGATTAATTACATTAACATTAAAATTATAATTTGGTGCATTATGAGTTTCATGTGGAGCATAGCAACATTTAATTCGTTTGAGCAGAACTTTTTTCCGACAATTGATTTAGAACGGATGTTCGATTACATGCGCATTATTTCTTTAATTTTTCGTAATCTTATCGTTATACACAAGCACCCATTGTGCGATGTAGAGCATAGCACGCGCATATTTCCCTTTTTAACCAGATCATTATCCGAGTAATTAATGAAACCTTAAATAAAAAAAAACACATCGATATATTTATAACAATGCCCCTTTCACGTTTCCCATTTACGTTTATAAATGTAAAGAAAAATGTAAAGTTTACCCAAAGTGACATTGGGTAAAACCAAAATTACATATTGTGTATGCCATGTCTATCTAGTGTGAGATAATTAATCTAAAAACGCACCATTCAAAAAATATTTCCTTTGCGTTTCGTTGTAAATATTTTTGCATCATGACTGAACTTCTTTCATACATATACCCTATAAAGTGGTACATGGGAGATGATGCAGCGTGATGACGATGTAATAAATAGAACATTGTACGACGTTTTTCCAGTTCGATGCAACAGTGAGCGTCTTGTAAGCTTGCCTTTCAAGATAAACAAAACATTTTCCTTCTCTTTATCCTTTTCTCCATTATTATTATTATTATTATTATTATTATTATCTGTCTTGTATTAATATTCATTTAATAGTTTAATTGGTTGCCATTTATCTTTAATCAAAGTCGCTCCTCCTTAAACTATCGATTATTAGACTTACTATTATTCTTGACTTTCACTTGTTCCATGTCATAATATTTACCCATTAATATAAACTCTGCAAAGAAATGCCTTCCGAGAAGAAGAGAACCTCCCTGCTTCCGCCGCCTGATCTTGATTTCCGTACACCACCTGAAGATACTCTGGTTGACGACTTGAGATACGCGCTTGAACATGCACGCGAACTATTCGCTGACATTGCGTGGGAGTTCTCAATGGCTCTTAGACCGACAACCATCTACGCACATAAATGTACGTCTCTCTCGTCTTGTTAATAACTTTGGTCTTACTTTATGTATTTGTCTTTCCTTTTCGCACGAAAAATATAAATACTATTTGAACCTTTTTTTTCCTCTTGAACATGCTTTTTGGGTGTCTGTTGGTTTGTGGGTTAATGACGCGTTCTAGAACGTCTGCAAATCTATGCATTTTACTCATTCTCTTTTTACCTTTAAACAAAAAAGCAATTCTATACGCGCGAAGTTCGCGTTCATTTCAAGAAAAATTCTTGAAAAATAAGGACGCAAATGGAATGTCAATACGATCTGTGCGGATGTCTAATTCCGAACCTATTGCCGTAAAGACGGAAGCAGACCCTTATTTCTTTAAACAAGAATTGAAATTCTTTTACACAGCAGAAGAAGGCAGTCAAGAGTTTTTAGCGGCGGTTGACACAACGGAAGAACTGGAACAAGAAAAATTAAAGGAGGACTTGCTTTACATGTTGAAATCCAAGTTGTACACGGACGTTGAATTGGTACTGTCAATCTCGGAGGAATCTCTGGAGGATTTCCCAGAAGAAGACTTTACGTCGACGTCACATCGTGCTCATAGATTTATGCTAGCCTCGAGGTCAGAATACTTTAAAGCCATGCTTAGTTCACAATTCATTGAAGCACGCATACCAACGGTCCCTCTAGATGCTACGATATTTAACCCGACATCACTCAATGTGATACTCACCTTCATTTACACCGGAAATTTAACATCATCGTCGAAGTCTCTTACTCTAGAGACAATTGAAATGGTTTGGATAGGCGCTGATTTTCTCGGAATAGGAACTTTGTGCGATGAATGTATCTATCGTATAGCAACAAAGGTTCACGCATTCGCTTGCACGTGTGTAGAATGTCAAACACTCATACCTCGGGTTGCAAGTTTCGCAAAAGAGCATGCCATAGAGAAGCTTTGGCGTGGATGTCTACATGTTCTATCAGAAGGCTTTGATAATATGTGGCCACAAAAAGCGTTCGCGGAGCTGGAAGAGGATACAAGAGAAGAGATTTTGTTAACATTGCTGAACAACATAAAAAGTCACAATATCGTCGCCACATTCAAAGGATGTCGACGAGTATTGGCACAGATAGAAGTCCAAGGAATCGGATTACCGTGGATTGAGACAGTACGTGGTTTAATCAATTCGGTGCGCACGTATACCGCCGGGATATTGGTGGATAATTTTGAGCAATTGTGTGAGAATGATGCTGAATTTTTGGATTGTGTAGATGGTGTCGGTTTTAGTTCCGATTTGCTTGAGGATATTATGAAAGTGGTGGTTGAAGAAGGATTATCTGAGCGAAATTCCGGTCCGGTGCTTAAATGTATTACTGGTAATTTATTGATGAGAGAAGCTGTTAAGGATGCACAGAGTATGGAAACGAAACGGGTGTTGGTACAAGCTAAACAGAATGTCTATGAGTATATGAAAAAACGTTGGATAGGGATTAAACAAATTGGTGGTTTCCGAGGTTTAAGTGATTGGTTATTGAGTGAATTTGCGCAAGGTATACATTAAATATTATTGCATTTAATATCACCTAATCTATTACAATACTAATAAACCAACGATGATCGTTGTAGATCTTGATATCACGATAGCGGAATTAACTGAGGAGGCTGAAGTCGCTGCCGCTTCCTCATCGGCAACCACTGCAACTACTACAACTACTATCAGCGAACAAAAACCGTCAACAAAAACTCGAACTCAAAATTCAACAAATGGAAAACAATTGTCATCTTCATCTACCCCCAAAGTAAATCGAGCAGTCACCGCGCCATCAGCAAAATCAAAGGCATCATCCTCAAATAATTCATCAAAAACAAATTCAGCAACGACATCACCAACAACCACCACATCCTCTGCCTCAGCGCTTAAAAGAGCAGCAACAACTAATGGCGTAATATCTTTAAATAATGCTGATGCAGCATCTTCAAAGAGTGAATCATCAAATGGTAATAATACAAACGGATCTAATTCAAATTTATCAGTCACAGCTAGAAAAACTAAGAGTGTCCGAATAGCAACAACTGCATCAACATATGGAAGACCTACACGAGCAAGTGTATTACGCCAAAAAGCATTGGCCGAAGCTGCTATGAAAAATCCAGTAAAGAAAAGAACAAATACAGCACCATCAAGATTATCTACAGCCAATACGAATAATTCAAAGACAGCTAATACTACAAGTAGTAGCACTTCATCAACTAAACCAAAAACAACTGCGTCTAATCGTGTCACGAGAGCTTCATCAACTTCATTACTTCAAGTACCAGGATCCTCTTCATCATCGGCTCAGGCACGAGGTCGTAGTAACTCAAGTAAACAAACAAGCGCTTCAACAACTTCATCTCGAGCTAGCTCAATATCCTCTGTGCATTCACAGAAGTCTCCCTCTGTTTCACCAAGTCGATTTGGCGGTGTACGGCAAACACGTTCAAGTATGTTACGCCAACTTAAATTTGACGAGGCAGAGCAGCGTCGTGGTCGAGATTCAGAGAGGCAACATGCTTCTCCGGCATCCTCACGGGCAAGTTCAATTGCATCAGTTTCATCGGTAGCAAGTTCTACAACATCATCATCGGCGGCTCACCCGAAACGATCTCCATCACAATATTCCACCTCAACTACAATGACCTCAACATCGACCGGATCGATTAGTAGTTTACCTGCGAAACCACATCAAATCAAATTATCAACTACTAAAGATCCGGATATTTCTGTGGGAAGAAGAGTAATTTTACCAACAAAGAATAACGCACCCGGAACTATACAGTTCTTGGGTGAAACGGAGTTTGCAAAGGGTTATTGGGTGGGAATAGAATTAGATAATCCTGGTAAGCAGTTATTCTTAATTAAACTAATCATTTCTTTACACGTTGTTGCTGATTTAATTTTTTTTTTGGATTTATTAGTCGGAAAGAATAACGGAACAGTAGCCAATATTCAATACTTTGAGACTGCACCGAATCAAGGAATATTTGTTCGACCAGACTCAATATTAATCATTTAAGAAATCAAATTTGACTGGGGCTGATAAATACAAATTGGTGCATATGACAAAAAATGAATATTTTAATGTCGAATTTCAAATCACTCAATATTATTCTTAATTCGCCGTGATTTCAAAACTTGTTCAATTAATTCACGATATATTATTATTATCAGCAATCAAAAAAAATATTATTAGGAAGATTATATTCTTTGGTAATGCAAATCGATATCGACAAGATCTTCATTTGTTACACACACTCTTCAGGTCTCCCGATATGTTCATTCCCTTTTTTCTTGGACAATTTTTGCCAAATTTTTGTGACTTTATTGTAATTTAGTATTATATATATCTCTCTATATTTATTCGATGCCATGCACTCTTATTTACCCTTTTTTTCTCTCACAATAAAATGCCAACATCGGGGGATTTTGAAGATCTCAAGTCTTTTAACTTTATTCGTTCTTTTTATCCCGTAGATCTTAATAATCAAAAATTCACAACACGCATACATGCAATGTGTACAGACAGAGAGGGTATTTTATCAATGTGTATGCGTGTATTTTCTTTGCTCCTTGCTACAAAAATCTGATAATGTATAACGATTATCGAACCGACACATCAAAGGCAAACAGCCGCCGCTGCATTTTATGCCCGTTTAGTCTCGCATCTCTTTTATATACATATAAAATTATTTATTTACAATTATTATTAATATTATCGCTTTTATATTATCCTACTACCTTCTTATTTTATATTAAATTAGATATATATATCAGTAGTGAACATGATCAAGACTCATTTATCTTATCTAAAAAGTTCTGGCGCCACGCATCAAAAATTATGCTGCACTTTTAAAAAGATGACAATAAAAAATTTGAACTGATTCTCTGTCAACAAGTACGTACCTGAGTCATGTGTGATTCGTCTTTGATTTCTTTGTTACACTTCGGGGTGCCCTTGACCCATTCATTTTACACTCAGACCGGATACCTGCTTGATTTGTACCTAATTTTTCTTTCATCGACATTATCGCTGTTGTCATGGGTCTGCATTATTATGTATGAAGTGCTGCATGAACGTTACAATTTGACAATTAATGAATGAATGAACGGTGCAACGTGTGATATCTACGAAATAAAGTTGGGTATACAACAACAGAGACGTATGATGAGATAATACGATGCTAGTCATCCATCCACCGATTTCAAAGTAGATATTTAACGCACCCGTCTATTCTCTTGTGAAACGAGAACCAAAATTTCCCATCTCATCCCACCCCAAGAATGCAATTGGAAAAAGATCCTGGAATACTACTGCATGTACTTATCCATTTTTACCCCCAAGAATAAAAATCATATTCAAATATTATTTACACCTAGATATCTTTTTATTTTAGGATGTTGTCTGATAATATTTATTTCTATATATATATATATATGTGTGTGTGTGTGTGTGTATGTATATTATTCTATTGATGTATATACTTAGGATTTTGTGTAGAAAAGCCGAAAGAAAAACTTATATATTTAAATCTGTTCTGGTCTCATATAGTTTACAAAAAGAATTAAATAGAAGATAAAATTTGGATCCGATTGGGGTTGGTTTTTACAGGGAAAATCAAATTAAAGGGGGGAGGAAATTTTTATATAAAAAAAAGAAATTATTGTTTTGGTGGTGACTGTCTAGAATAAATAATTAATAATATACGCTTAAAAAGATATGCGTCTGAAATTTCTATATCTTCACGTGATAATCGAGGAAGTGGGAAAAGTTGGCATAATAAATATAATGTGAAAACAACTAATCATAATAATTGTTTGGTTTGTGTGTGTATGCTACACTCTATCTATAAATTATTTCTATCATTAGTTTGTTTTGAGACTTTGTCAACAAGGAAATGTTTCTTGGATTATAATAAATAATGAATGTTTCGATTTATTATAAAAAGTGGGACAATATGATTTGTTTTGTTTTGTTTACCGCCAACTCAAAGAATTCTTATAGATACTATCGACAAATCGATTAAATTCTAGCTCATCATAGGATTGCTCCAAGGGATATTGACCCTCCAACTCGAAAACCTTTTCCAAATCCACCATCGAATCCGTAAACCGCATTAATGCATGGTACACTTGTCCACGAAGCGCAAGTGCCACGACATTTTCTGTGTCTAGTTTCAACACGACGTTTAAGTCAACCAGTGCTTCATCGTAACGTAATAATTTCTGATAGACTAATGCTCGATCACACAATGCTGAGATGTCGCGAGGTTCGAGACATATACGGCGATTGAGATCTGTGAGCGCTTCGGCGTATCGGTGTTGTGTTTTGTAGATCCCACTGCGGATTTTCAATGCTGCTGCGTTTTTTGGACGTCGTGCTAATACTTTGTTTAGATCTTCGAGGGCTTCGTCATATCGTGATAGTAAAGCATAGATTTCTGCTCGTAAATTTAAAGCGGAGCTACTATGTCTTAATTGAATTACTTTGTCAAGATCAGCTAACGCCTCTTGATATCTCCCAAGGTGATGCAGAACGCCAGCGCGATTTTCTAATGCAGTCCCACTTTTAGGTCGCTGACGCAATGCATTATTTAAATCGGCTAATGCCTCATTGTATCTTCCTAATCGACAATAGACCTCACCACGATCACGTAAAAAGTAAGCATCATTCGGTTTCGCCAGTAAAACTTTGTTCAAATCCACCAAGGCATCCTCGTTTCGAATTTTCGTGCGATAAATCTCGCTACGTTCTTTCAGTGCGGATAGGTTATCGGGATTTCGATGCAACACAAATTCCAGATCGGCCAACGCCTCTTCAATCCTGCCTAGTTTCTTGTAGACACCAGCACGAGTTTCATATGCACTAAGACTATCCGGCCGTAGTTCAATCGACTTGTTTAGATGTCGCAACGCTTCCTCGTATCTACAAAGTTTCACATTGATTTCTCCAAGACGTCGTAATGCGAATGCACTATCCGGTTCAATCTCCAGTGATCTGGAGAGATCATCGGCTGAATCCTGATATCGCCCTAACTTTTGATAAACAGTTCCACGACCACGAAGAGCAAATGCGTTATTCGGTTCCACAAGCACCGACTGATTCAAATCAACCAACGCTTCCTGATATCGATTCATCATTCGATAGATTTCTCCGCGTCCTCGTAATGCGAACGCGTTATTTGGTTCGGCACGTAGCACGATCGTCAAGTCATTCAATGCCTCTTGATCACGATTCAACATTCGATAGACTTCCCCGCGATATGCTAATGCGGAAATATTGTTTGGTTTTAATTTTAGAAATCTGGTAAATTCTGCTAGGGATGCCAAGTAGTTTCCTTGCTTTCGATACACTTCGGCGCGAAGCTGAATCGCGGGTGCATGATTCGGGTCTAGTTCTAGCGCTTTGTTTAGGACTATGAGTGCTTCATTGAATTGATGATCTCGTCGTAGTTTGGCTCCCCGTAGTGTCAATGAGTTTACTTCTTCGGTTGCTGAGGGATCACTACAAATTGGACATTGTTTGTGATTTTTACACCCGGATATTGATGATGATGATGATGATGGTGATGATGACGGTGATGATGATGATGATGACGGTGGTGATGGTGATGATGATGATGGTGGTGGTGTTGGTGATGATGATGATGATGATGACGATGATGATGATGCTTCCGCTGTTTCTGCAGAAGATTGCTGATAACAATTAGCATCAGTATGCTGAAAAGAATAACGATAATGGTAATAAATAAACAACCAATTATTAGTGAAACTATATTTATTTTTCCATTTTGTATAAAAAACAAGGTAAGATTGCTTACCGAAAATAACAAATAGTCCATTACTATTATTATTATATTATATTAATTTAGTGTTTTTACAAATACGAAAATATCTCAAAATATTTAAAATTTTATTTCGTATTCCTTGCGTCTACTTCTTTTCTGTTATATTTTTCTCAAAGTCCTAATCTCGAATTACAGTACAACTATGAACACACTTTCTTCTTGTCTCACAGGGAAAATAAAGTTTTTTCTTTAAAGAAAGAAAAGCTACAAAGATATTGGCTTATATATATATATATAAAAAAAATTAAGGCAAGATGACAACGTGGATAACGAGCAAAAAAAAACCTATCGTTGTGTCGTCGTTGTTTGTGTGTTCTTTGTATGTTTGCTTGCGGTGTACCAACAACCAAATATTTATATTTATATAATGAATTATGTGTGTGTATATAATAGATGTATTATATTATATTATATTATTAAATAATAAAAGTAAAAAAAAAAATACTCTACAAAAAACCACTAGCTTATAATATGATGATAATACTGTATATGATATTGAATAATATAATAAATGTACATAATAATAGAGACGCATAAGTTGATACACACTCTCTAATCTAGAGTGACGAAATGAGACACAAAGGACCGAGAGAAAAAAAGTTTAGGTATTCGGCTTTTTAGGGAGCTTAACAAACACGTGACTATCTTGTTTTATTACTATTAATGTTTTAGATTCTACTTGTAAAAAAAGCAACGAGAATTTTTTTATTTCCATTGTTCCCTTTTGAGTGGTAGGATTTTATCATAAAAGACAATTTTATTATTTAGAAAATTAAGCAGTCAGCGATTTTTTTTGCCTAACGATGAATTCTACGGAAGTTGAGAAGAAGACACGTCCCGAGAGATGCGAATACCACCAAGAAATGCGAATAGTTACACGCGTTTTTTTTTTCCCTTAAAAAGAAGACTATTATGTATTTCATTCGAGATTAATTTTCTGAAAAATCTAATCCTAAATAGATGCCATTTACCCCATCGTGAGTTAACTATGTCAATTAAATTATAATCAGTCCCACGAATTCGAGTTTTCTAAATATAATTTCCTATTCGAATCTTTTTGGTTACTATTATACATTTTACTATAATAATCACGGTAATTTTTTCTCTATTAACCCAATTGTTCTTGCGAAACCTTATTGGTACCGGATGTTGGAGAAATTAAATGAAAATATTAAATCAATGTAAAAATACATCCTATTGTTAATTTGTACAAATATTTTGTAGTACCATCATCATTCAGATACATGCAAATAAATGAATGGGTGTTTCGTTTCGATGAATCGATATATCGATGTAATGTTGTTTTTGTGAATAAAAATCTCATCTGCTTAGATTAAATAGTTTGAGCCCATCAATTGTCCCAAAAAAAAAAATCGATCCCTTAACGAACAACAATTGTTAATTTTTAATCATAAAATTGCAATTATCCCTGAGCACGATGATGGAACGAGAATGAAAAAGATAGCGTGGGTGATTAAAAAAACGGACAGTCTAACTATACTGACAAACTACTGTACCTGCAGAAACCGTATCTTGTTGTTACGGCTGACTAGCTATTATTTGTGCATATATGTGTGTATGAGTGTGTGAGCGAGTGTGTTGACAAATATACATGTAACATTAACTAGAATTTCATTTTCATTGCAAGTGAATTTTTTCTGTTACCCTGATCAGGTTATCAAAAAATAACAATTACCACTCATTATCATGGCATTACTAAAATTTCCCATTATTAAGAATTTTATTTTCTTGAAGAATAATGCAGCTGGGCGTAAAAGACGCTCAGGCCGACATAACAATATTTATTATTGACGTAGCGCATACACGTATGTATCGGGAATTAATTTGGCAACATTGTGACGCAGGGGATGGAAAATAGCAAAATTACTTCGTCCGAATAATACATATAATATACAAAACGTGATGTTGCATGTCAGGTTAAAGTCTATACTTGAAAGAATCTTCTAATGTCGATATCTGATACTTTCCTACAGTTAACTAAACAGCAATCTCCGTGATTGACCTTTATCTTTTACATATTCTTTCTCTTGAATGACGAGACTCAAATAATAGGTGGCAATGGTGCCATTTTGAGAGATATTCGCATGTTCGGCGGCTTGGTAAACCTATTCATTGTGTAAGAACTAAAATTATACTGTTACAAATTGATTTTTCCTTTTTTGTCATGTTCGTTTTTCGAATTTGATGCGTTCCCTTTCTTTCTTCACATCTAATTGATCAGAAATTTTCTCAAGTTTTAAAGACGACTGACGTCTGATTGGCAGTCATTGTTGATGTACTCCACAGCGAGAAGAGTTTTGTCGTAACTTTTTTTTTTGATAGTGGGTCTTTGTCTATTATATATTAACTGGTTTTATAGAACAACCAATAACGATCCATTAACTGTTTAAAGTATCAAATTTAGGGAATTCTTAAATATCAAAAACGCCAACAATGCATGCGTGTGTCGATTCAAATGGGAAATGGGGCGGGGAACGATATTCTACTGCGCATCTATTTACACTTGAAACACTCCCTTTTTTCAAACGTGCGATAGATTATACCTGTCAACATAAAAATGCATGTACATGTGTATTGGTATGTATAAAATGCATTTATAGTTTACTGAAAATGGCTGTTATATTTCGGTGATCTCTTTTATGCTGGCAAATCATATGTCATATGAAAGAAATGTCATCTAATATCGATATCATTTCAATGTCATCTTCATGTCACTTGCAACTTAGCAAGCCATTCTGATTACATAATTCATGCAAAAATCGTTTTTCGGAAAAGAATATGGTTAACACCGACTTTATAGACGCATGTCGTTTTATGCGTCCTGTTTCCAACGGAACGAGAGGAACGAAACAAACAAGACACTCTCTGATTTTGTTGAACATTATTTTGTATCTCGTTTCCAGGCGATCATCCAGATAGTTAATAACGGGGAACAAAATAAACGTCACTCGCCGAACGTCAATTCTAACTTTGAGCGAGATGCTTCAAACTTCTCGTCACCGAGAACACACACTAGATTCATGCGAAATTCAATCATCTTAGTGATTCGTTTAGAAATGACCTCGTGCGCCTTATGTATACCTTTCATTTCAGTGTTTTTGATTATTGCGAGAAGATAATTGGAGGAAATTGAAAAACGTGCAGTCGATATCCCGACATCCAACAATTGGTTTCGATTCCCCTTGACGAAACAAATCGAATGGCACCAATAAATATATGTCGAGATATTTGCAGGAATAAAATTGAATTCGCAAAACTGCACGTTTTGACGAAAGGTAGGAACATATCGTTTCGTCTTGAATTTGAGCATGCTTTTCTCCTTCCAGTTTCCAATCCAACAAGGAGATCATTGTTTGAATGCCATTCAGCTGTCGTTTCAGATTTACACTTACGCTAACTAATATAGGCAACATGGAATGTAGTGCTATTTTCTACCAGTTTCTACCTAATACACATTGTCTGCCTGCAAAAATTCTCTTGCCGAGAACAGCTGAAAAAGTGCATCTGTATTAATAAATTGTTGATGAAATGATGTCAAAGAGCAATGTTGAAGATACGAAGGCCATGCTCTTGTTATCGCGTAATTGTCGCTGAGAAGCTTCCTCGACATTATTCTTTAAATTTCCTAAAGAGGCCGAATTTACATCCCTCCACCATCGAATGGCTGCTTTGTCAAATATATAATATGATATGCGAACTTGTTGATACTCCGCTTTAAAGATAGAGCTTGGAAGACTGTATGGGATGACATTAAATTGTATTGTGCTATTGAGCGTGCTTCACTTTGATTTAGAAGCTCGTTTCTAAAGTTCACCCGTCAGCCTTCTAAGCATGCGACAAGTTGATATTGGTGACAACATGATTTTGGACATTGATGACATGTGTCTTTGCAGCTGAACTGATTAGTGTCAAGATGTCTACAAGAATAATAAAAATGTATGGCTAGGATTACTCGTTAACATGAAAATAAAAATGAAAAGATGGTTACTTGCCTTCCATTGTTCCATGCCAAACCTCCTGGTGAGATGGAATAGAAGTTATTATACTCGAATTGAGATTATCCTCCAAAAGATGCAGGGAAAGGTTGTAAGGCGAATGGCTTCAAGTCATTCCGCGAGCGGCATACTCGATTACGGAAGCAAGGGCTTGCAAGAAATTCGTCGAAAAAAATTTTCGTGGTACATGTCTTCCATTTATATCTTCTGTTCGAGTTGCAGTTGATTCCATGAAGTACTCGCATTTTTTGTTATTTAACTAGAGTGATCCGTAAGATTTACATTTCTTGCACGCTTTGGGACTATCAATTGGTGCATGCTTGGCTCGTTTGCGTTTTTTTATTCATATCCGACAGATTTTGGTGCGCAATTCTTTTATATTTTATTTATTGAGTGGAAGGATTGTGAGAAATGTTTTTATATTCTTTTCACGAGTTTGATTATAGTGTTATAATAAATATCATTTATGCGAATTTATTCAATGTTTTTTTTACAAATCCTAGTATTAATTCATTCCATTTCTTTATTCCTATCCTAATTCCAATTCCAATTACGCAATCCACCAACGCTTTTTTCGTTCTTTGCAAGTTTCGGTTAACAAAAGTTATTCTAATCTCTTAATTAACTTACATGTCCTTCTTTTTTCTCTATTTAAGCCGTCATATCACCGTTAATACCCTTATCATGGTGGCACTATATCTTTTATATAGCCAGCCATGAAGGGCGTGCAACGATGATTTATTGCCATAAGAGGAACTTTTTCTTTATATGCACCACAATCAAGGACAGCGTCTAGTTCAACATATGCGTCTATGTTGATTTGGCGTACTGATGTAGTTCTATTGCTAGGTAACTTTATACGAATTCGCTCGGATTGATTAAAAAATACGTGTTAGTTAACAGTATGTGCAGCAAAGATGTATAAGAATAATTGATGTAAACTCCTTGCAAGTATCCAACGTTGCACACCTCTTTCAAACAAATAAGATCTAAACAGGTACTGCACATGCACACAGTACATAGCAAACAATACTTTTTTATTGTGATTTATCAAATATGTACACGAAAAAAATTCTTCGCTATACAAACGGGCAAACACATGTATGTAATAATGATCTATTCAGCCACGAGAACTAACTGCACAAAATTAATGGTGGATATTTAGTGTTTGGGCGGAATTATAGAATTATGCCAGAATTATGAGTATCTCTTTGGATAGTTTAAGAATGCATTTTATCATTTCAAATTCGTCATCAAAAAATCAAATGCTATGCTGAATAGAAAGCTAATAGTACTCTTACTCTTAACACACCCTTTTTTAACCTCCCTCTAAATACTAATTTTAATTTTTGGGTGTTAAGAATTTTGCTCCGAAAAATCCAAACTTCTTTCTCTTTACAATTATTCTGACGAAATTCCAAGAATACTGAGTCTTTCTTTCTTCATCCGTTAGGTGTGGTGTGGTTGGTTGCACCATGGTTGAACTGATTACATAATATCTTTACTGTAGAGCTTTAGAGATTTTCTTTATTGTCAGCGTTCTTTTGCTGTATTGTATGACCAACCCAGCAGTAGGCTTCTATTTCTCTTTCATTAGGAAATTTTTAGGTTAAAGGAATTTGTCTAGCTTCTTTAATCATTGGTTGCTTTTTTCGTTTCTGATTTCAATGCAATGATTCAGGATTGCTAAGTTCCTCCGAGAATTGGGGATTAGTTCTTTTGAACATGGAATGCGAACCCTTCAATGTAGAATGTTATTTGTCTTTCAAGACAGAAATTTTCCGGTGATGTTTTGTTCACAATGTTGCAATAGTTGAAACACCATCTTTTTAATTATTGTGCATCACATGAAAGAAATACTTGCCTGAAAATAATAACAGAAAGCTATATACGTATCCATCAGAAAGAAATATTATAAATCACATTAAGAATATACTTCTAATCATCAGAAATTACTAGCATTACTTTCTTATCTGGTAAAAAATCTATCTTTATATTAGCAGAAAATTAATGAATACTTGAAATCTTTAATTTTTTGAAATTTTAAATAAATTATTTATATTATTATAAAATGAAATTATATATATATATTATTATCTTATTATATTATTAATATCTTATTAAATAGTTTATTTTTTTGATTATATTAATTATATTTTATTGAATAATTATTAATTTATAAATAATTAATTAATTTAACAAAATAATAATAAAGTAACTTAATAATAAAATAAATAATAATTAATTTTAAGTAAATTATTTATTAAAAATAATAAAATATATTAATAAAAATTTATATATATTATTATAATCAAGATTAATTTCTGAATCAGTTTAAATATATTATTTAAATATCTATATAATTAAATTACTAATAAATTTTTATCATATTAATTCTAATTTTAATATTATTCTTATTAAAAAACTTAATATTTAATTCATATATATATATAATTATTTTAATTAATAAAATATATATTTTATATAATATATTATAAAAAAATTAAATATTTATTTAAAATATATAAAATTTTAAACATATAGTGGCCATCAAAAGTAATGCAATACTTAAATTTTTTACTAATTATAATTAGTAAAATATATGATTTTTCTTACATATAAAAGTTTTTAATTTTATTAACAAATATTTTTTATTTTTATCTCAAAAAATAGCTAAAGTTCTCTAGTTTAACATATATTTTTTCAGATTTTTCGGATTTTTTACTGGTAATTTCTTCTAATTGCATATAAAGTTAATTAATTTTTATTAATTATTAATTAGTAAAAATTAATTAACTTTATATATAATTAGAAGAAGTTACCAGTAAAAATTCAAAAAATCTGAAAAAATATATATTAAACTAAAGAACTTTAGTTATTTTTTGAGGTAAAAATAAAAAATATTTATTAGTAAAATTAAAAACTTTTATATATAAGAAAATTACAAATTTTTGTTCAATTTTGAAATCTGAAATTAATATTGGTAGAGCTATCATTAATATCACTATTAATAATTATTATTAGTATTACTATTGATATTATTATTAAAATTACTATTAGTACTGTTATTAGAGTTACTATTGGTATTATTATTAGAATTACTATTAGTACTACTATCAGAGCTATTATTAATATTGTTATTGGTGCTATCATTAGAATTACTATTGATGTTACTATCATTAATATTACTATTGATATTGCTATTAAAAGCATCATTGATATTTTAATTAGTCCTTCTAATAATGTTGCCATTGTCATTTCTGATATATTAAAAAACTGAGTAATTTTAGATATTTCTTTGGATATCTTTATCCATAAACTATTTAGATCATATTTATCATAATAAGTTGATTTTAAAGTTTTTTTAGTTAGATAAGAATCCCAATTTTTTCTTTTAAGAATACATTTAAATTTCAAATTAAATCTAAACTAATATCTAATAAATAATTTTGAATTTCTCTTCCTGTCTCAATATCATTTTTCAACTTCCAGCTACTTTCTTCCTCATTACCTTATTAATTTTTTATAGTATCATTATCATCATCCAATTTCTTATCAATATCTAATTTTATTTCATTCTCCAAAAACTCTTTCATATTCTCACTTATATCATTGATTTTTTCACTAAAAAAATTCTTTATATTATTACTAATTTCATTAACTAATGATCTATTTATTATTTCAGAAATCACAAATCTCTTACTTTTATTTTATCTACTACTGAGCAGCACGTTTAGCTTTACTAGGATGTAATATTAATTAAAAAAATAAATTCATATTAATTATTGATACATACATATATACTTATTGAAAAAGTTCAGAATTTTATAAAGAATGAGTCTGAAATTTTAATTTTATTAATAAAACTTCTGATTTTTAAAATCTTATAATACAAAATATTTTTAATAAATATAAAATTTGATATCATAAATATAAAACTCAAATAGTTATTCTATTATAAATATAATGTTAAATTATTATTCTATCATTATATATAAAATTATAAGATCTCAAAATTGACCTAAAATTTTGATACTATAAGTGATCTGCATCATAGTAAACTTGAAAAGATGATGAAAGATATTTGAAAAACAATTCTAAAAAAAGTATATTATGACTTAATATAATTAATATTAAATAGAATTCAGATTGTGATTACTGTTAATAAAGAATATACAAAATTTTAAAGTACTAATTCTGAATATAAAATAAAATTAATTATTATCTTAATAAAATTTTTTTGTTGCTAAAATAAAAGTATACAATACTTTTAATATCCTTTTATATAACAAAAATAATTTTGATTATAAATCTAATAATTAAAACTCTAAATCAGTTTCAATTTGTTATAATTATAATAAGTTATATCATATTTATTTTAATAATTCTTAACTATAATTATATAAAAATAATCAAAATAACTTTAGAAAGAATAAATGGAAATAATTAATAACAAAATAATATGCTATCAAATTAGATAAATTCTAATAATAATTAGAATACTAATAATAATCAGAATATATTATTAGCTTAAATACAAGTTCTTATTAATAATATTCAAATATTAATTACTAAATCAGATAATATAAATTCACTACTTAATATATATAAATATTTGACCACTAAAAAGAAGAATAAAAATTTAGAACTATTTCTTTATAGAATCAGATCTGTAGATTAATCTTATAAAGAAGTTATTAAAGAAAATAAGAAATTAAATAATAATAAAGAAGATAAATAAGAAGATATCTCTAAATTTATTCTTGATTAGGATATGAATAATATCAAACTATTTAAAATACTTGAAGAAAAACTCATCAAAAAATTTATTTGCAAGAAAAAAAGCAAAATTACTTTATTTATACTTATTATTATAGCTAAATTCT